GAACTTTTTAAGAAGAGATTGGATAACTATTTGTCTGAAATGGTTTAGGGTTTCCTGCCTAAACAGGGGGTTGGACTAGAAGACCTTCAATGTCCCTTCCAACTATTCTGTTCTGTTCTGTTCTGTTCTGTTCTGTTCTGTTCTGTTCTGTTCTGTTCTGTTCTAGTCTAGTCTAGTCTAGTCTAGTCTAGTCTAGTCTAGTCTAGTCTAGTCCAGTCCAGTCCAGTCCAGTCCATCCCATCCCATCCCATCCCATCCCATCCCACCCCACCCCACCCCACCCCACCCCACTCCACTCCATATTCTATTCTATTCTATTCTATTCTATTCTATTCTATTCTATTCTATTCTACTCTACTCTACTCTACTCTACTCTACTCTACTCTACTCTACTCTACTCTACTCTACTCTACTCTACTCTACTCTACTGCCTTGAAAAAGAGATGAGCAGCACCCCTTTTGGTCAGCAATGACGGGCAGAGTAAAATCTGCAAACATATCCAACATACCTTCCTCCTGTTATTTTCCCCACAACCACCCTGTGAAGTGGGTTGAGCTAAAAGAGAGAGCGACTGGCCCAAAGTCAACCAGCTGGCTTTCATGGCTAAGGTGGAACTAGAACTCATAATCTCCTGGTGCCTTAACCACTACACCAATCTGGTTGGTTTGGGTTCCTGATGGGGTCAGTCTATGTTGGAGATGGTTGGTGGACTCATACGGAAAATATCACCATCATACAGTTTTTGTTTTTGATTTCCTAGTTTTGTACCAAATCCTGTCAACATTTTCATATTTATGATTTTAATTGTAAGCCTTCCAGAGTCGTTGTGTAGAGTGACATATAAATTTCATAAGTAGATCAACAATGTTAAAAAAAAATTGTCATTATCCTACATAGCAGACTATCCAAGGTTTTCCTTTTGCACGTAGCAATTTGTTTCCAATAGTGTTAACCGTGACATTTTTTTTAATCGCATTCATGTTGTTGTTTTTAAAACTAAAATCAATAGATAAATTTTAAGTTTAATAAGTTTAAATAAATTAAAACTAATCCTCACCATTATGTTGGCCATGTCATAAAGTAGACCGAAATAATGAGCAATGTGGATCCCAATGAGCCAGAACAGGAGCCAATCTCATAGATTTTATGGGATGGAATCCCAACTTGAGGCCGTCAGACTCTTGGCTTAAGTCATGGAATCCTTCATAGTGACAGATGAATTTTAATTCTTCTATATTTAAGGCCATTGTTTCCCAACAGATTGGAACTCATTAAAAGCAACGCAAGTAAAAATGCTACAGCAGAACCAGGACATCTCCAGATCCCTGATCCAGTTTTTGCCTCTATCAAGTTGCATCAAACTAGAGCAGCTGGACAAGTGACATACTTACTTGGGTGAACTCCAGATCCTGGTGATTCATGGCTTTAATTTTGTCCATCTGTTTTGGCCTGTAAAGTACTCCACAGAGATGCATTTGATCTCAGAGGTCCATGTCTGCTATCCAAATATCCTTTATGGTCTGTGGGAAGATGGACTTCTTCCATACGCGTAGAGGAATTTTGACATTCATCTTACTTTTTTTAGTTATTTATTTATTTTTGCTACTAATGAAATCTGAGCGCAAATCTAATTCCTACAGCAGCTCTGGAAATGCCCCAAGAATGATGCATAAGGCAGTCCACCAGAATTCTGATTGCTCCAAGTCCTAGGATGAATTTAATCCAGTTGCAAATTCTCTTAGAGAACTTGATAGCGATGGCTGCTGGAGAGCTTTGATGGTAAACCAGAAATGTGTTTTTTTTTTTCCTTTTGCAAATGGAACAGTGATGCCGTGGTAGCCCAAATCTGCCCTGGCATTTGAAAGCCATGTTCTTGACCTTGGACATTGCTTTGGGATCTATCTGACAGCGAGAGAGAGAGAGAGAGAGAGAGAGAGAGAGAGAGAGAGAGAGAGAGAGAGAGAGAGAGAGAGAGAAACCACAGCCTGAACAATCCACTTAGCCTAAACAGCCAGACATAATTAGCAGCTGCAAAAAGCTAATGGGACTTTGAACCCCTAGTTTTCGGGAAAACATACAATTTTCTGAAGTTACCGAAGTTATTATTATTATTATTATTTATTAAATTTATATCCCGCCCTTCTCCCCGAAGGGACTCAGGGCAGTGAACAGCCGAGAATTAAAATAACATACAATATAAAAGTTAAAATAATTAAAAATAAATTAAATTAAACGGCCGCCCCAATTTAAAACCCCTAGTAATACAATTAAAAAAAAAAACCCTAAAACCTATTCAGGCCAGGCCGGCTTGCTGAAATAAAAACGTCTTCAGGGCCTTACGGAAAGTGCGGAGATCCGGAATCAGCCGTATTCCGGGAGGTAGCTCGTTGCAGAGGGCGGGTGCCCCCACAGAGAAGGCTTTCCCCCTGGGGGCCGCCAGCCGACATTGCTTGACTGACGGCACCCTGAGGAGGCCCTCTCTGTGAGAGCGTATTGGCCGGTGGGAGGTTATTGGTAGCCGCAGGCGGTCTTGTAAATACCCTGGCCCTAAGCCATGGAGCGCTTTAAAGGTGAGAACCAACACCTTGAAGCGCACCCGGAAGACCACTGGGAGCCAGTGCAGCTCATGCAGGAGAGGTGTTCAAGTTCAAGAAGTATCATTTAATTCTGCCCAGTTTTCTTTAGTGAAACAGATGATACACTAATGCTAGTACATATATCATTCTAGGCAGCCTAGAACATGACCATGTATTAGGTCACCTTTTTGCAGTTGTGTATACATACACAAACATAATGGCCTTGAAATGCTGCAGGAAGCAAAGGTGGGAATAACTCTAGAACAGGCATAACTGGATTTAGAAGATAGAACATAGAATAATAGGGTTGGGAGGGACTTTAGAAGCCTCCTAACCAGGGGTGAAATCTAAAATTTGTTACTACCAGTTCTGTGGGCGTGGCTTGGTGGGGGTGGGTAATGTGACTGGGTGGGCGTGGCCAACTTTTTTTTTTTTTTTTACTTTTAAAAGCATTTTTTCTACAAGAGGTTTGCAGAAAAAAATGCTTTTAGAAGCCTCTGACGATCAGGCAAGTCTGCTGGGATCGCCAGAGGCTTTTAAAGGCATTTTTTTCCCCTACAGCCTCTTCAGCCGAAGGGGTTGCAGAAAAAAATGCTTTGAAAAGCCTCTGACGATCCCAGCTGAGCCACGTGATCATCAGAGGCTTTTTTTTTTTTTTACTTTTAAAAGCATTTTTTCGGCCGAAGAGGTTGTAGAAAAAATACTTTTAAAAATACTTTTTTTACTTTTAAGTAAAAAAAAACAGCCTCTGATGATTGCGTGGCTCAGCTGGGCATGGGGGAGGGGTGCAGGGATTTTTGCTACCGGTTCTCCGAACTACCCGCCATCGGGTGATCCGGTCCGAACCGGGAGCATTTCACCCCTGCTCTTAACCCAATCTCTGATCATGTCAGCAAACTCATAATGGCAGGAATACCATTATGGGCAGATGGCTGCCCAATATCTTCTTAAAAACCTTCAGTGATGGAGCATTCACAACTTTGGAGGGAAGCCGTTCCACTGATTAATGGTTCTAACTATTTATTTATTTACTTTATTTATTCATTTGTTTGTCAAACATGTACAAGATAGCAGGTATAGGTATAAACATAAACACAAACAAAGGAAGTAAATACAGATAAATGGGGACAGTAAAGCAGAGACGGTAAGCACGCTGGTGCGCTTATGCCCGCCCCCTTTACGGACCTCTTAGGAATGGGGTGAGGTCCACGGTAGACAGTTTGAGGTTGAAGCTGTGAGGGTTTGAGGCTGTAACAACTGAGTCAAGTAGAGCATTCCAGGCATCGTCCACTCTGTTGCTGAAGTTGTATTTTCTGCAGTTGAGTTTGCAGCGGTTTCCCTTGAGTTTGTATCACTTGTTTGTCAGTGTATTATTGTGGTTGAAGCCGAAGAAGTCATTGACAGGTAAGATGTTGTAGCAGACAATTTTGTGTACTATGTTTAGATCAGACCACAGGTGGCGCAGTTCCAGATTGTCCAAGCCCAGAATTTCAAGCCTGGTGGCATAAGGGATTCTATTGTGTGTAGAGGAGTGGAGTACTCTTCTTGTGAAATAACTCTGGACCCGCTCAATCGTGTTAATGTGCAATATACAGTGTGGATTCCAGGTGGATGAGCCAGCACGGCTCAAAGACATCTTTGTGGTCATGTGGCCGGCATGACTAAATGCTAAAGGCACATGGAATACTGTTACCTTCCCACCAAAGGTGGTCCCTATTTTTCTACTTGCATTTTTTATGCGCTTTTGAACTGTCAGGTTGGCAGAAGCTGGGACAAGTAACAGGAGCTCACCCCGTTACGCAGCACTAGGGATTCGAACCGCTGAACTGCCAACCTTTCGATCGACAAGCTCAGCGTCTTAGCCACTGAGCCACCACGTCCCTACCTATGCTCAAAACAATATGGCTGACCCACATAATTGCCTTTTCAAAATGACATTGAATCCGGACTCTAAAATACGCTGGTTTTGTTTTGTTTTTTTTCCTTAAAAGTCCTTTTTCCTTCAAAGAAGGCTGAAGGGAGCATTATGCAACAATGCGAACAGAGCGAATGAACAGCAAAACTGAATAGGGGGATTATGATGAATGGGTTCCTGAAATAAATGCCCCAATAATTTCTGAGAGAGCTGTCCAGATTCAGAAGCCGTTCCTTGCCTTTGGAAGAATAATAGCCATCAGAACGTCACTGAGGAGAAAACTTGAAGACAAAATGCCTCTCAAAAGGTACTTTTATTGCAGGAGATGCCGGCATAGAAGGAAAGAAGGGAAAAATAGTTACTGCAAGTGGAGAAAAGTCTGTCACGTTTGGGAGAGGTAATTAAGACAGATCACGTGGGAAAATGTGCGAGTTCCAAAAAGCATTCCTTGGAAACGATTTGTTGGCTGAGAAACAGCTGCTTTGGTAGAAGTATAACGCTGCAAAAGAGTTTCAGGACACTATTCTCTCCTGAAATACTGGATTAAACATTGGAATAGCAGTTGTTCCAGTATTTGAGGGGCTGCCACAAAGATGAGGGGGGTCAACTTATTTCCAAAGCACCAGAAGGTAAGACAAGAAACATGTCTTCCATCCTTTCTAAAGTGGGTAAAATGAGGACCCGGTTTGTGGGGGCAATAAACTGACTTTGTATAAAATATACAAAAGTATGAAGGCTATTGCTTAACACATTGTAAGCCTCCCTGAGTCTCCGGAGAAGGGCAGCATATAAAAATAAAAATTAAAAAATTAAAAAAAATGTGGTGGACGTGCCCCAAAGCAAAACAACATTGGAGTAAAATTAGAATACAATTAGAAGAGATAACCAAACAGCATATAGAGATGAAGCCAGAAATATTTTTATTAGGAATACTCCCAGGGACTTACCCCCCCCCGAAAAAAAACAAAAAAACAACAACAAAACCCCACAATATTTAATTATACATATTATAACAGCAGCAAGAATGATATATGCACAAAATTGGAAAAATAACAATATACCAACGGAAGACAATCTGATTAGAAAAGTTTTGGAGTGTGCAGAAATGGACAAACTTACAAAGGAAATACAAGAAAAGGAGGAAACAGAATATTATATAGTGCGGGAGAAATGGTATGAATGGTTAGAGGAGAGAGATAAAAGGCAAGGAAAGATCAAATAAGGAAGATATAGGAGTGGAAATGCAGTAACAAACAAGAGGAAACAGAACAGGTGCAGACCGTAGGAATGAAATTGTGTACACTGTTATCTATATGTATATATGTAAATCAATCAATATTAGAATTATATGTACAAAGGATAAATTGAAATAAGGGAGAAAAAAATGGAAATGTAAGAAATGTTCACCGATGGGAAATTGTTGAAAAGAAGAAAATTGTAAAAGATTCTTTTTTTTTATTGAAAAGTTTTACAAAAAAGAAAAAAAATTCCCCCCCTGTTCCCCCCACCCTTTGCCCCCCTTCATCCCACCCTCCCCCCACGACTTCCCAGAGCAAAATACAAGGTATTTCATTTAGTCAAACATAAACTAGACTAATCTACTTATCCTCAAAGTACATTTTAAAAGATTCTTTTTTGTTTTCAAAAAACAAAACAAAACTGTTTAATAAAAAAATATTTTTTTTAAAAAAAGAAACAATGTGTCAGGGTTCCAAGTAATAAACCCATAATAAGCAAAATTTCGAGGCAGATGAATTCCTCAAAGAGTAGCTTTATTGGATATATCATATTGGCACAAATCTGGTGAAAACCGACTCTGAAGGTTCCCGCCGTTTTCATCTAATTAAAAGAGAAAGTTTTCCCACAACCCAAACAAGGTCCACAAGACAGTATTTAGTTGTCTGGGGACCTCACTCCTCCTTCCACAGTCCAGGTGTGAGAATGTCCTTGGTTCTCAAGAGAATGTATTTTATTTTGGCTACACAACCCCCTCTGTCTCTAATCCTCCCTTACCTTTCCCTCAGCTCCAATGTGGCAACACTGAAGCTCCAATATGGCTCTGGTCAGGTCAACTTCAGGGTTGACACAATGGATGGTCATGTTTATAATAAATTGAGGCTACATAAAGTCTTCCCGTGAGAAAAGAAGGACCATGGGTGACATGATAGCAGTCTTCCAATATTTGAGGGGCTGCCACAAAGAAGAGGGAGTCAACTTATTTTCTGAAGCACCAAAAAGCAGGACATGAAACAATGGATGGAAACTCATCAAGGAGAGAAGCAACCTGGAATTGAAGACAAACTTCCTAACAGTGAGGACTATTAACCAGTGGAACAGAAGTTGCCTTCAGAAGTTGTGGGTGCTGAAACACTGAAGGTTTTTAAGAAGAGACTGGATAGCCACTTGTCTGAAATGTTATAGGGTCTCCTGCTTGAAAAGAAGGTTAGACTAGAAGACTTCCAAGGTCCCTTCCAGATCTATTCTGAATGATAGATTGACACTGGCACTGAGAATCACAGGTGCTAGTTTAAAAATCATGCCAATGATTTCTAAACTAGCATTAATGTTGCTCAGTGCTAGTGTATTGAAACTGTTTTCCAGCTTAATGCAGATAGACTGTTCAGAGTGACAATGGTATTGAAAAAAGTGACTTATGACCATTTTTCACAGTTACATTTCTAGCATCCCCGTGATCATGTGAGCCCTTCAATCTTTTCCAATATCATATTTAATAATTATAATATCCATATCTATCTATCTATCTATCTATCTATCTATCTATCTATCTATCTATCTATCTATCTATCTATTTATCTATCTATCTATCTATCTATCTTCTATCTATCTATCTATCTATCTATCTATCTATCTATCTTCTATCTATCTATTATCTATCTATCTATCTATCTATCTGTCTGTCTGTCTGTCTGTCTGTCTGTCTGTCTGTCTGTCTGTCTGTCACTATTTATCTATCTGCTGTGGTTAGAATGCAGTACTGCAGGCTAATTCTGCTGACTGCCAGGCAGGGGTGAAATGCTACCGGTTCAGACCGGTTCGATTGAACCGCTAGCGATGGTGGTGGGTGGTTTGGAGAACCAGTAGGAAGTCATTACTTCCTGATTTTAACCAGGAACTAACCTGTTTTATATCCTCTGCGCCAGTGGTGGGTTCCTCCCGGTTCGGTCCGGTTCGGCCGAGCCAGTAGCGGTGATGATATGACGTCACCGAACCGGTTCTCTCCCCCCGCCCTCCCCCCCACCCACATTATTCTTACCTTTTATTTGGTCCCACCCCTAATCTATTGCTGCCTCCTGAGTCCCAGCTGATGACTAGAGGGAAAAAACTGGGCTTCAAAGGGCCGTCCTACAGCTGATTAGTGTTAAAAGCAAACAAATGAGTCGGGTCATAAGTGCGAGGACTGGTCGTAAGTGCCAGGACCTTCCAGAAATGACTCTGACCAGCTAGCCACGCCCACCTAGTCACATGACCTCCAAGCCATACCCACAAAATAAGCCACGCCTACAGAACCGGTAGTAAAAAAATTTAGAACCCACCCCTGCTCTGCGCATGCACAGAAGGGTTTGTGTATGCACAGAAGGTCCATGCCCGCGGGGTGTGTGCACTTCCACACCGGTAGGGAAGGTAAGTAGATTTCACCCCCGCTGCCAGGGGTTTGATCCTCACTGGCTCAAGGTTGACTCAGCCTTCCATCCTTCCAAGGTGGGTAAAATGAGGACCCAGATTGTCGGGGCCAATATGCTGACTCTGTAAACCACTTTGAGAGGGCTGAAAGCACTGTGAAGCAGTATATATCTAAATGTGCTCTCTCTCTCTCTCATTCTCTCTCTCTCTCATATCTTCCTTCCTTCCTTCCTTCCTTCCTTCCTTCCTTCCTTCCTTCCTTCCTCTTTCTTTTTTCTTTACTGTATATGCCTAACTCTACCTACCTACCTACCTACCTACATCTACATCTACATCTACATCTACATCTACATCTACATCTACATCTTCATCTACATCTACATCTACATCTACATCTACCACCCACCCACCCCCCACCCACCCACCCCCCACCCACCATCCATCCATCCATCCATCCATCCATCCATCCATCCATCCATCCATCCATCCATCCATCCATCCATCCATCCATCCATCTATCTATCTATCTATCTATCTATCTATCTATCTATCTATCTATCTATCTATCTATCTATCTATCTAATAGTCTTTCCCAGCATGATATCTTCAGATGCATTGACATGCTGGCATGTCTAGAAGTCTCTGGGAAAGAGAGGAGAGAAAAAGAACCATAGCAAAAGAGACCCTCAAGGCTATGGAAGGAGAAAGCATGACAAAGAGACTCAGTCCATCTTTGCCTTAATTGCAAGAAAGGTGGAAGGAAAGAGGAGGACAACCAGGAGCAAGGTGGATGGACTCAATTGTAGATGCAATCGTTGAATTTTTGGAAGATCTGAAGGGCGAGATTGTGGACAATTCATTCTGGAGAAGGCCTGTGTGATTCCTAAGAGCCAACATCAGCCTGACGGCATATAATCAATCAAAGTTGAGTGGGAGAATTAATTTGACAGCCTTTCACGATTGTGTTATATCACCCTACCAGCAATAGAGATCTTTCCAGGCATCCAAATGCCTCTTGTTTCCTGAGTTTGACAGCCTCACAAGGCTTGACAACAGGGCTACAACTTATATCACGTCCCAGGAAGACATACCTGGAGGGGAACAGACCGGAGAAGGGTAATTGACTGTTGACATTTTGCCCAAGGTCTGTGGAAAGTTAGCTTTGACTAAAAAGATGTGCCTACCACAAAGGCTGTATTTCAACAGGACACTTTGATTTGATGGAAGAACTCATTCAGAGTTGAAGGTAAACCAAAATGACACTCCTTTCTGAAGTGACAGACTGGAGCTGCTGCTCCTCTTTAACCCAGATGCAGAAAAGTCCTTCTGTAAATGTGCAGAAGCCACACTTCCTGGGTTGATTTCCAAAGCTGGATTTGAGGCACTGAGAAAAGTGGCTTAATTCCAATGAATGGAAACTAATCAAGGAGAGAAGCAACTTAGAACTAAGGAGAAATTTCCTGACAGTTTGAAGAGTTAATCAATGGAACAACTTGCCTCCAGAAGTTGTGAATTCTCCAAATGTCAATTTACAAAGCATCCCTGGCCTGCTCTCGAGTGGCCATAGGCAAAGGGGATGGGAAAATGGCGAAGCAGCATGTCAGGCAAAAACAAAAGCACATTTCAGACATATCTCTTCCAAGGCTGTCTCCCAGGGTAACCCACAGTGGCCGAAGGGGAGTGATCTCTACAAAATTGCTCCGTTGGCGAATGTGACTGATGACACACCCTGTGGGGGGGGGGGAAACAGGGTCAAGATTGGGTCGTAAATTACATAGGGTCAGAGTTGGCTTCACTTGGAATGTGCCGGAATGAAACTCCTAATAAATAACTGGATTTCTTTTGAAGCTTGGCTCGAGGCTCATGATTTAATTAGGGCATCTGTCAGAACCCTGACACCAACATTGGAAGTATTTAAGAAGAGATTGGACAACCATTTGTCTGAAATGGTATAGGGTTTCCTGCCTGAGCAGGGGGTTGGACTAGA